GAATATAAACTTTTATCTGCGCAAAAACCAGAAAGTGCACTATTTAGAACATTCACAAACGTATTTCACTCATTGCAATCTCAACAAAAACTTAGAAATATTTAGAAAAATCGAAGTTTTTTCATTTATGTTGTTAACAGGTTCTTCGTTACTAAGATCTTTAATACAGAGGTGGGATTCGCAAAACTTCGACTAAAAATGTACAGTCACGATTTTCTTCTAAGATATATGTAAGTTTGGCATAACAGTAGATTCAACTAGAAGAAAACGTAAATCACAAACAATGGTGTAAGAAGACTCAGAAACTTTGTAGGGATGCACGGACATATGTGTGCATGTATTTGCATGATGACCAGAGCAGACATGACCTAACTGACAAGTAAACGAAAAACAAACTATCTGGTTACATCATACACATTAGTGCCTTTTCCTTGCTTAAGATGATGCAATATTTCAAAAAAGGACCAAAATGTATATTATGCAATTACCGCCTTAGTTTGTCCTGTTTAGAAGGTATTTCGTCATATTGCCTCAATAAATTTCTCTAGCAAAAAATTGAGAAGAGATAGCTCCTGGATGGATTCGAACCATCTATCCTCCGGTTCGAAGCCGGATGCGTTTCCACTTACGCCACAGAAGCATGAGTGAATAGTAAAGTATGTCGAAAAGAATTATGCATTGCCATTAGAATAGAAATACAGCTTTAAACAACAGTAAAATCGATTTTCTGAGAATTAAGCTCACTTACTTGAATTGGATGCTAATTAATCACAGTATTAATAATTAGTTGCTTGTGAATTTTCCACTGAAATTTAGGAACTCAATTGAGTGCATTTGTCCATGTGGAGAGTCTAAAAGAGAAATTACTAGATCACACGAAAATTTGCTAAGAAATATTTAGTTGTATGTCAAAGTTCATGTTTTTGATTATTTATCGGATAAGATAATTTCTTCTATGCAATCCTAGATCGTCCATTATCTTCGATATTATCAAGACTTGCTTGAGGAAAAATGAGATAGTAGATCAGTAACAACACATGAAAGAAAAGTTTCCAAAAATCTGTATTTGAACGCGTTTTTCATCAATTCATATGTTTTCGCTTGGCTTAACATGCTTCAATATATCGTCGTCAACGTTGAAAAAGGTGAAGTATAAATCAGCAAAAAGACCACTTTTATGCCAATCTGCACTTCGACTTTTGTCATATTGATTGTGATATATCTTTTCCAAAACTATGAGAATTTTCAGCAAAGAAATAACTAAGAAACGTGCAATAGAATGGTATAAATATGATGAAGCAGTTAATATGGACAAACTGATAGAGAAAGGCTTTCGCAAGGGAAAGACGAAAACATAACTCTTGTTAACCTCGCAAAGAATGTGAATTGAAGCAATCGATATAATTATGATTGGAATGAAAATATAGATGTCAATGGAATCTCAGTAAATTTAAAGATGATTCTATGGCAGAAACTCAGGTGTATCTTCTTTTTAGTTTGTTGCAATTCGTCATATTTTCATCTAGGTATTTCTAACGAAAAATTCACATTGTGATAATATGTATTGACACTGAATAAATGATCTATTAATCCTAGTTTTTTCCTATTCACGTATCTAAATTTCTCTCGCTGGAACCACAAAATTTTTGAGATTTACTGTCTATTATCGTTTATTTCTATGAAAAGCATCTATCAAATAGATAAATTTTCAAGGTGTAAAGGAACTTTTTTATTTAAATGTGTCAAAAAATAAAAACTTTTGTAAAAACATATTTATCCAATGAAAACACAGTATACGTCTGATGTCGATATTCATATTACCTCTCGCTGATCTTCTTTCCTTCTTTTGCTGTTTACTGCCTCTCTATTATTCTCTTTTGCGTTAACCTCTCTATGTATCTTGTTCTCTCCTATATAAGCGGGTGCTGTATATAGGTGAATATTTTTATCATGTATCAATTTCATTGTTCGATGAACAAAAACGGGAATAATATAAATGAAAGACGGATGTTATCGATATTAGTCGTGAATTATATTTGGAGAGAACAAAAAAGAGCGTCTGTTAAAATGTATTACTAGTCCAATGACTAGATTAAAAAAAATATTCGAGCATTTGCTGAGAATAAAACAACTAATATTTTTTGAGAGCTTATAGAAGAGGCCAATAACGAAAAAAGAAAAGAAGTTGATATTATTTCTAACTTTTTCAAAGTACTCTAGATTTTTTTTTGAGCCCTAATAAACTTTCTATTCATTTCTGCCTTTCCTAATATGCAAGTGCGTTTCCTTGTGTTATAAGCATTAAACTTATCTAGATAGCTGTTCTATTGAAGCGATATATTGTTAAGTGTGATATCACAAAATGTTTGTCTACATGTTAACATACATTTATTTTGTAAAATGGGGCTTTCACTGGAAATACTAATTCAAATCTCCATGTAACTTGTTTTTTTCCGAAGAAAAAAGAATTATGAACGCTGCACTCTAATGCGTTTCTAAAGAATAGTTGCTTTTAGTTAAAGAATCGTGAAAGAGCTGTTCAAATCCAGGACAACTAATAAATGAAACGCATCAATGCACATGCATTCGAACAATGTGCTAAATAGCGTTGATTGTAGAGAAAAAAACGAGTTTTAAATAATAAAAAAAAAAAAGTTGAAATGTGTTGTAAATAAAGAAGTCGTTAGCGCAATGTCTGCGGAATTAAAATGTTAAATGTTACGTAACTCCTGTTGCTAATTACAGGACATTTATTTTATTCTATCTATTCTGGGATAAATGTCTTCACGGCCTCTTCACCTGGTTATCCAACAATGAATTAAGAAATTAGTTCATATATTATAAAAAGACATTATTGATATACGATCTGTAATCGTATATTGACAACAACTGCCACAGTCTATGGGAGAATGAATTTTCTAATCTTCATTCCTATACTTTCACACCAGTTTGAGATCGTGTTTTGCAAAATGTAGGTCAATGCATAATGCCATAAAACGAACGAATATGATGGAATAAAATAAAGGAAGTATCTTATTTCTTTGAACAGTCATGAATAATCTTGAGACACTCCATTTTCATAAATTGGTTAATTTTACAACAATGGATATATGAACAAGAGCATATTGCAGTTTGTTGTCACAACGCAGAATGTAATATAGTTGATGTCTAGGTTCACTCGTTTGTCGTTTCAAATCCATTTAAACTGATAAGATGTCTAGACTGACAAGTGAATATTCTCAGGTCTTATTCATAAGAGAAAAATATTGTCAAAAACTGTTTTACATTAATATAAATGTTTTCGATAAAGAATTGTTAATTTGCATGAGTATTCAGAAAACAACAATATTGCAGTCTTCTCAATAAATGCTTATTTGTTTATGGTTGTAGGTTTCAGTATACATAGTGTAATATGACGCATATTTTTGGTGTAAAGAATGTCAAACCAAACGACACCAATGTATGGAGTTAATCAAAAAAAAGATGAGACATTGTTTGTTTTTTGGTTAAGACGATAAATATATTGTTGCACATATAACTCATGGAAGATGTAAGCTCTTTTTTTGAACCTACTTGTTATACTTCTAAACATTTTTAATTGTATTTTCCTTATGAATATAACCAGTGAATACTCCTTTATCAGCGTTAAAAATATTAGTCACTTCGACTTTGAAAAACTAAAATCATATGAATATTAGCATAACTGAAACTTTATCAAAATAAATTTGAATCATCTTTTATTAATGATACAAAATTTTCTTTTTAGTTCACCCACATTTTTAATTTTCTGTTTGTTCAGCTGTAGTTTCAAATACCATCAGACTGTATAGCCCATGAGAACTGCATCTTATGACTTGAGTACTCACACCTCGAATTTAACATAATTAATTTTTGATTTATTCAACAAACCAGAGTTACTTTGTCACGAGATGAAATATTAGTCCATATCATAAAGTCTTGTGAACGAGATGGATCTTGTTGAATTATCATTCTTTGATAATCTGGATTGACTTTGTTTTGTATAGCAAACTTTTTTGTTTCTTTCAGTGCCGCTTGATGTTGCTAATTCATCAACTTTGAATTGTTTTTCGAAAAATAAAGTTGGCAAATTTTATGATTCTTGAGAAAGTAGATTGACTGACATGATACAATTTGGCAAAAGATAGTTGAGTAGGAGACTCCTCGACATCAATGGATTGAATTGTTTTTAATACAGTTGGTGGTATAAAAACTGAGCGTTTTCAAGAAAACTTAATTTTTTCAACAGAATTACATTGATGATTGATCTCTCGTTTAACATTAGATACTGTCTGTCGAAATAAATCAATTCCATGATTTTTGAAAATACATAATACATATTGTAGACAACTTTAGAGACTATCAAATCTCTATTCGAAATTGTTGTCTGAACATACCTAAACTATTTGAGAAAGTTCGATTTACTTTCTGTTAGTGACATGACGAAGTGAGGATATATAAAAGGAAAAAGTCTTCTGATAGGTGAATTGGAAATGCAAAACCAATTTCAAACGATGCCAATTCTTCTTGAGAATCTCTAGATAATCAGTTTTCAAGAGGATATTTTTTAGAGTTCAATCTTACTGAAAGTTTCATCATAGATACGGTTTGTGCTGTAGAGTCTATTCTGAGTATGATTCGAGACATATTTTTTAATTACTTTTTAATTGATAGTCAGTTGCCAGAACCAATACTTTGACATATGTCTGTGCTTAAAGAACTTATTAAGAAGAATGACCTTTGTAAAGAATCAAAGTCAAATTAAAGGTCAGTATGTCTTGTTTTTACTACCAATAGTCTATATAACAGATAAGTAATGCATCGTTCTGTTTTATTTATAAAATTTTAGTTGTTTGTTACGTTCTTACATAACACAAAGTGAATTCCAAAATATTCTCTTGTCTTATTTTATTATTAAATTACATACTAATGTATACAATACTTTATTTAAACACAAAATAAGAATAAAACTATTATGTTTATTAATTAAATCGTAATTCATTATAAAAACTAAGTGCACTAATAATACTTGTTTGATACATTGTTGTTGTTCGTACTACACTAAATCGTTCAGCTCGTTCAAAATTTGCTTTAGCTCCTTCATAATAAGCTCCATCAGAGAGAACAAATGATAATAAATTTGTACATCGTACTCTAACAAACAAAAACAAAAAAAAAACAAATTTATTCGAATGACTTTCTTTTTTCATTAATGATGAAATAGATTACACATACCTGAGATGATCGATAAATTTTGATGAATTTTCACTAAAACGTAATGTTTCAGGATCCCATTGAATTTCAAAACGTGTTAATTTAGGACAATGTATTGCACATGCTTCTAATATTTGATCAATATGAATACGACGTGCAATTTGTCGAAACCAACTATGTGCTGTACCAATGATTAATATTCTATTAAATACAAAAGAAAAAAACTCATATTTTTATCTAAGAAAAAGTAAATGTTTATTACTTAATTCGACGAAGATATCGTATAGTATCAATCCAAAATTGTTCTGTAATATCATCATGACCTGTATAATTTAATGCTTCAAGTCGATAAGTAATACTGGGTGATGATGTTAATAAATGATGTACTGTATCAACATTTAAATTCACTGTATTACTCAAATCAAGTGCTCGACATCCATTTAATATACCTCGATCCATTAATAAATTTAATACCTAAAAGTCAAAAAAGAAAAATATTCTTATAAAACGTAACGAATACAATAAAGACAAAAAGAAATCAACACGAGATTACCTTATCAGTAAAACCATCACAATAAGAAACTGCTAAATATGTAAGTTTTGGTACAACAGAAAAAAAAACCAATAAACCATTTTCACTTAATTCTGTTGATGAAATATCTAATTCTGAAAGTTGAGTTGATGACCAATCAATAGCAACCATTGCATCATCTTGAATACCTATCATAATCAGTTATAAAACTAACTGTGTATCAAAGTAGAATGCCTGTCGAGCTTAAAATTTTCGAACCTTTGCTCGATTTGCATTTGAATATCCTCAATGAAACGCTCTAATTGGAATTGGATAGCTGCTTCAAAGATATGAGATACTTTTTTTTTTCTAGCATTTTTTATTCGATGATGGGAAAATTTCAACTCGTCACGATTTTTGTTTTCTGGCTTTCGTAACGAATTGACAATACGAAAGCCCGTAACAGAGCTTTCGCAACGACAGAATCAGGGCTTTCGTAACAAAAAATCAGGGGTTTCGTAACAAATTTTACAGGGCGATCGTAATGCATGTTTTGATATGTACCATTACAGGGCTTTCGTAACGAAAAGCATGTAATTTCTGGAAACTAAGTCCAGCTATCACCCTTATCCTCATTACGAAAGCCCTGTTGCTTCGTTGCGAAGGCCCTGCAACTGTTACGAATTTCCTGTGTTAATCGTTACGATCGCCCTGTAAATTTTGTTACGACATCCCTGTATTTTTGGATATCCCTATTTTTGGTGTTACGAAAGGTCTGATTTTTTATGTTTGTTCAACTCGTCACGTGACGAGTTGAAACTTTCTCTCGATGATTAGTGCATTCTACACATTTCTCACACGACTAGAGCTCATCGGTCGAAAATTTTTGAGATTCGGACCCTAAATTAACTCAACAACTTATAATCACAAGTATTCTAAACAAAAATAATCTAATAAAAACCTATTCTATTTCTTTGCTTTATTTTGTCAAGGACATGTGCAGATAAGACAACACTATTAATAATCTTTTTTTCTGTAAATATCACCCGTTGAGTTATTATAAATAATTTATCAATCAAATAGCCCAGCATAAGTAATCAAAATAGAATAGTATCCATCCTTTCTATATCTATCAAATAATGTTCATTATTTATACCCGTATTTTGTAATAATAAACATTGTAATTTGGTACAACGATTCATTAAATTTTTAAAACTTGTACCACGTATTCGAATACAAAAATTTAATGCAAGACATTGAAGATGCATACAACCCGATGCAATTAATTCAACATGATTATCATCAATAAAACTTATACCATATAAATTAATAACACGTAAATTTGGTGCATGTGTTTTAATTTTACTAATATTTATTGTTTCATATGTATCAGTTTCTTCTGTTGATGTTATTGAAGATTTTTCTATTGTACCAATAATATGTAATGTATTTAAAGATGATATATATCCATAGATTCGACGCATAAATCCTTCAAGAAAAATAACTTCCGATAAACAAATACATAAACGTTTAAGATTACATGGAAATTCATTTAATTCACTAAAATCATGTAATTGCATAGCTGATGAAAAATCTAATGTTAAATATTCTAAATTAGGACAATGTGAAGCTAATACACGCAAAACTTCAACTGTAACTAATTCAACAGGTAAATCAATATAAATAAGTGATGATGCACAACGTGTGCCAAGCATATAAATAAATTTATCAATATGTCGTACATGAACTGCACCAATATGACCATTAGTACAATCAGGACGTAAAAACAGACGACGCCATAATTGTTGCTGATGTGAAACAATTAGATGCCAACGATGACATACACGTGTACAACGAATAAGATCCAGAGGAGTTAAATAAGAAAATATTAAAATAAGAATTGAATCAGGAAGATATCCAAGTGAAGTCAACTAGAATGAATGGCAAAAAGAAAAAGTTTGATTAATGAAAAAAAACAAAACTAAAAAAACCACTTACTTCAGCCGATTTACGACTTTGTAAATTGTCCATTGTCAAATCATTGGATTCGTCGATCTCTAAATCTTGTTCATATTTATTTGGCATTATACGATTTAGTCCACGATTATTTGTACCCGGACTAATAAGCTGATAGTGATTGTCTGTTGTCCATATGTTACTAATACTAAACTATAGGATTTGTCTGTATATATTTAACTAATGTTCTTTGAAAATGTTTATTTCTTGTTCTTCTACGTTTTCCTAAATACATGCATACACTTTCTTTCTCTTTCGTATTATCAGTATCTGCCATTATTCATTAGCATCATAAACAATCCCTTCGAGACCTTCGTCTGACAGAAAAAAACATTGGTCTTGATGAGAAATGAGATAGAAAAATATCAAAGACGATAAATATCAACCGAATGCAAATAGCAGGTGTCTTCTGTTGTATAAATTACTTATTTATTATAAAGAAGAAAAAAAGAAATCACAATCTTAGCAACAATCAATACTTACAATGGTTTTCGATATGAACTGAATAAATATAGCTTTAGGAATAAATCATGTCTACAGTTTAGATTGACTTATTACCGCTCATTTATTAACCCATATATATATATATCACATTGACTAACTAATAATGTCATAGAACATTATATATCCTTCGTTGATTGTTGAAAATTATCCGTCTTGAATTTTACATTAAGCATCATTAATTGCTTAAGAGTCGCTTTATTGGATCATTTGCTAACAAATGTTGAGTTCTAAAGAAGAAAAATCTAAACTATTCATCTGCATATTGTAAATGATATTTTTGCTTGTCATTTCTGCTTTGCCTTTGTTAACACTGTTATAAATGCAATTAACATCTCATTGTCGAATATCAATAAATCATATGAATGACGTTAAGGAAACTTGTTTGTTTCTATGTTTAAAAGAGAAAAAAAAAACAGAATGACTTCATCTTGTGCTTCATATTTCAATTGTACGGAGATTTCTATGACAATTTTTAAATAAATATTGAAAAACAATCTTAATGAGTTTTAAAGAAAAGATTTGAATAATATTAATAAACAAATTAATGATAATAATGTAGTATAATATAATCGTACAAACAAGAATTTTTAAATTTTTGTAGTTTGTATAGTCATCATTTATTTTCAAGACATGATTTGTAACCTTAGCTTAACTATTTATTACCAAACAATAATAGCAGCTAGAAAATCAAATTCTAACAAACAAGAAAACAACTTCAATGAGAAAAATCTGTGTTTATCTGTAACATAAACAAATACATAAATATATACATATGCCGATAGATATGAGAAAAGGTCACAAATTGTTATTTGTAAAATTCTATTGCTCTATATTATTATCATTAACTTTTTAATCTTAATAAGTGTGATCGTGGATAAAATTTCAGAATAATATATCAAACTCTTCGTATTGAATCATAAAATAATTTATAAAAATGACTTTTATTTTTCAGTGGCAAACTATTGTTACTTTTCTGGCAAATATTTGAATAGAATATTTTTTTTTTGAATTTCATTACCAAGCATATAGGGTGTGTTCCGTCATCCATTTAATTTTTAAATTAAATAAAAACATTAATGTGCATCACCTATGATAATTATTTATAAAAAAAAAAATGTTCAGTCAATCGTATCTTCAATGAAAAAAAAACAAAAAATTTCTCGTATATTTTCATCATAAATCTAGAACAGTTGTTTTTTAATCAACGATTTCAATTTATCAAATCAATTCTTCATATTTCTCAAAGCACATACATCGTTTGATCTATGGAATGTGTTGATTATTGTCAAAAAAAAATTTTTTTTTCTAGAATATGAAAGAAATTTTCAAACAAAATTATTGTTTCTTTTTTTGTAATAGTGTAACTACGATGCACGTACCAGTTTTGAAGTATAGACACCTTATCAACATCATTTCTTTCTCCTTCTCTATGTCTTCTTTTTTTTTTTTTTTACTCTCCACTTTATTCAAAGTTTTAATGTATACCTGCAAAGAAAGAACAAACAGTAACAAACTAAAAGAAAAGATTCTTTTTTATGAGTTGTCATGAAGATCATATTAGTCCAAAATGCAATCAGTGTATTTTTCGTGTGATTCATTCCTCTTCTTTTTCTACATTATTTGATTGCTTCATAGCAACGAATTAAACAAACGATGTGGTTGCATCCTTTGTTCATTACTCGACAACGGATGTAAAAAAAAAGAAAAGTAAAGAATAAGTTACCCTAGAAACATTGCTGTTCGATGGTTGCCAGCAACATCGAGAGTAAGTGTGTACGCAAAATAGAAAGTGAGAGAGAGAGAGAAAAAAAAGAGAAATCATGCTCCCCTATATAAATCTATGTGTGTGCAAGTCAACAGTCGTTCGTTTTTGTCTAACGGTTTTTTCAACATTACTTTTACTCGTCGTCGCAGCAACAACTAACAAAAATGCGTGAAATCGTACATAGTAAGTCTAACTAAGAAAAAAGAAAATGTTTCAATATGATATTCAATATTATATTATATAGTGCAAGCTGGTCAATGTGGTAACCAAATTGGTGCCAAAGTATGATTAAAGAAAAATCGAGGAAAAATTTTTATTTATTTATCAATATTTCTTTGGTTATTGTAGTTTTGGGAAGTTATCTCAGATGAACATGGTATTGATCCAACAGGTACATACCATGGTGATTCCGATCTCCAACTTGAACGTATCAATGTCTATTATAACGAAGCTGCTGGTATATAAATTTAAAAAAAAAGTTTTTTTTATTTAAACTAATATTATATAATTCAGGTGGTAAATATGTTCCACGTGCTGTACTTGTTGATTTGGAACCAGGTACTATGGATTCAGTACGATCAGGTCCATTTGGTCAACTTTTTCGACCTGATAACTTTGTTTTTGGTCAATCTGGTGCTGGTAACAATTGGGCTAAGGGACATTATACTGAAGGTGCTGAACTTGTCGATTCAGTTTTGGATGTCGTACGTAAAGAAGCTGAATCTTGTGATTGTCTTCAAGGATTTCAATTAACACATTCATTGGGTGGTGGTACCGGATCGGGTATGGGAACATTACTTATCTCAAAAATCCGTGAAGAATATCCTGATCGTAAGTTTGACTTATCTTAAAAAGTAAATTTTAACTATGAAACATTTTTTTTTTTTTATCAAATAGGAATTATGAACACATTCAGTGTCGTCCCATCACCAAAAGTTTCTGATACAGTCGTTGAACCATATAATGCCACACTTTCAGTCCATCAATTGGTTGAAAATACCGATGAAACATACTGCATTGATAATGAAGCTTTATATGATATTTGCTTTCGTACTTTGAAACTCACTACACCAACATACGGAGATCTTAACCATCTCGTTTCAGCTACCATGTCAGGCGTTACAACTTGCCTTCGATTTCCTGGTATGATAAATACAAATAAAAAATATATATATATATGATTATTAACTATTCTTGTTTGTTTGTAGGTCAACTTAATGCTGACTTACGTAAATTGGCTGTTAACATGGTTCCATTTCCACGTCTTCACTTCTTTATGCCAGGATTTGCACCACTTACATCACGTGGTTCACAACAATATCGTGCTTTAACTGTACCTGAACTTACACAACAAATGTTTGATGCTAAGAACATGATGGCTGCTTGTGATCCACGACATGGTCGATATCTTACTGTTGCTGCAATCTTCCGAGGTCGTATGTCAATGAAAGAAGTCGATGAACAAATGTTGAATGTTCAAAACAAAAACTCATCATACTTCGTCGAATGGATTCCAAACAACGTTAAAACAGCTGTCTGCGATATTCCACCACGTGGTCTTAAGATGTCAGCTACCTTTATTGGTAAGATTATCTTATTTTTTTTGTTTGCATTGATTTAACATAAGAAAATAATGATTTGACTTTTTTTTTATAGGTAACAGCACAGCTATTCAAGAACTTTTCAAACGTATTTCGGAACAATTTACAGCTATGTTCCGCCGAAAGGCCTTTCTTCACTGGTATACTGGTGAAGGCATGGATGAAATGGTTAGTTAGTTTTTTGTTTAATGTTTTGGTCTTATTTTTGATTTATTCAATATTTTTTAGGAATTTACTGAAGCTGAATCTAACATGAACGATCTTGTTAGTGAATATCAACAATACCAAGATGCTACAGCTGAAGGTAAAGTTCTTAATATCTTTGAAATTTTATTTATTAATTTATTCTTTTTATTTTTTTCATTTTTGCAGAAGAAGGTGAAGGTGGTGAAGAAGAAGGTGAACAAGAAGGCGCTTAAATCGCATCATAAAACCAAAGACAATCTTTTTCATTTTTATCATCATCACTATCGAATGTTCTTTTTTTTAATTCTATTATAACATCCATTAAATCTCTCTTTTTAGTTTTCTTTTTCCAGTACGATCATTTGTCTCTTCTTATTTTTGTGTACAATGTTTTCTTGTATGTGAAAAAGAATGAATAACATCGAAGAGACAAAATAATAATAGTTTTTTTTGTAATATTTTAATGAAAAAATAATAAATGATGATGAATAAGAGTATAAAGATTTTTATTTATTCTTCATTAAAAATCAAATAGAAGATCAATAAGTGGTAATTGTTAGTTATGTTTGTCTATTGTTGAACAGAATTTTTTCAACTCAAATCTAATTTTGGAAATATGCATGAGACTTTGCTTAAAAACTTGTCTCATGTTTTTAGAGTTGCATCATTCCCTTAACTGTGGTTTTTGTTCTATTTGCAGGTATCATTAGATTTTATCGAATCTAAAAATAAAAAAAGTTCACAATTGGCAAAAATTTATGCGTTTTATTAAAGGCATACCGAAAATAGTGATTTCGGCAGAGAAAATCTTACAAGAAAGAGTTAATGTAGTACTCGAACTAGCGTTCATATCTAATTACGCACAATTAATTTGTTTGCAGATATTTTTCACATAATTTTTGATTAAAAAATTCATCATATTATGATTAAGGGGATCGTTTCATTAATGAAGTTTATCACGTGGATCGAGCATCTGAAACATACGTAGTATTTTATCTGTACAATAAAGTGAATACAAAATAATTATGACATGTTCTGATCCAGGGTAGTAAAAGCATTTTCATGAATGAATAATCGGTTGTTGATGTCTTGAGCGTTGGCCGATTTTTTTTTTGTCTTTTCATTGTATTAATACGTATTTTTAAGAAATTATAATTATAATATTGGTGATAAGGAGCTTTCCTTCTTTCCATATGTGCCAGTTTTTTTAAGAGTATTTGACTAATTGTTATCAGAAAACGCTAAATTACTGAACCAAACTGCAACTGATGAAGATCGTTCCATTGTAATTCGAAGAGTCAGAACTGATTTCTGTGTGACCGATTCAGAAAATCAAATACAAGTATTTCGCTCATTAAAAGATTGAATGGCTAATAGAACATTCCGAAAGTTTCAGCTAAAAAGAATCATTCTTGGTCGAAATATAGAATTTTCCAAAAGAAACAGTCGTTTACCACAATAATTGAGTTTACTTCAAAATTTAATGTCTCGACAAAAGAATACTCTTTTCGGCTAAACCTTTTAATATATTCTACTAGTCATTTGTCTTTCTAATGTAGGATTCAAACTCGGCTCCAGAAGCCAATGAGCGCGAATCCTTGTAGGATTATTCTGGTCTTATGGAGACATCCTTGTAAATCCAACATGAGCTCAAGCAACAGATATTAGTTCGAATACTCCCCTAGTAAGTAAGAGCAAATTTGACTAATTCTTGGAGCTTCAATTCAGAAGTAACATATCTGTAGTATTGAGAACTCACAGATTTCATATCAGACGTGCTCAATTTCGAATTTTTTATCTGATACTACAGTTTGATTTCTTTGAATAGTTAAAAGAGATTACGGCGAACAACGCTGTATCTGTTTTCTTTCGATTCAGTGAAACCTAATGTTAGCAACAGATAAAGTAATAAAAATTGTCAGGACAATGAATTTTCAATCCTTAAAAAATTCTATCTTTGAAACTACAGTTGAGAAATTGATGAATATCTACGCACATTTATGGAATCAAGACTAAGAGCAGGTTTAAAGAAGATGACATTTTTTTTAAATATTTTTAATTGAAATAATTATTTAGAATTAATTATTTTCTTCTATAAAACAAATTCTTCATATTGAAGTTAAAACTTTTTAAATATTATATCATATTATTTAATGAACTGTCTCTAAGATAATTGTAATATTTAGCAAAAAAATACACAATGAATAGTTTCATAATGAACGCAAACGCCCTGATTTTTCAATCACATTACCTGTTTATTTGGCGATGTAATTAAAATAATCAAATCAATAGACAAAAAGAAAATAAAAATAATTTCCATATTCAATGTAGCAATACTTATTGTAATAATAAGTAAAATATCATTATTATTGGATAAAATATACATAAACAATTTTTGACAAAAAAAACCGCATATTTTGATATCAATCTTCGTGTATTTGGTTACCATATTGATCTATGAATAATTTCAATCGTGCTCATATTTTATTTTTGTTCGTTAACATTAGCAAATACTACTTTGGACATCTCAAACATAGTGACAATAGCACTAAAAATACTAATAGAAAACTCGAGGATATTTTCTTTATATGTATACTAACAGTCTAAACAGGACTCTATAAGATTTCATTATTCTTCCGCACGATTCGACAGATTTATAACCAAATAATATCAAAAAGATTCATTATCTTATTTTACAATTAACAAATTGCAAGCGCAAAATGATCTAAATCATAACATCATTCGATGAATAATCTTCGAATATCTTAAATTTAAAAAGACTATTATTAGTTGTATGTGAAAACAGCTGACCTAGAGAGTGATTTGGAAATATACGGCTTGAATTACAGGTTCGATAGACCAATTTGTTATCTTCAACATCTTCTCGTCCTTCATGAAATCATATATCATATTTCAACTATTCTGAGAAGTGAAACCTAAACTATTGAAAAAAAATAGTTTATTATGAATAATACTTGCTTGAATATATGTAATATAGTAGCAATTTTCATGTGAAAGCAAGTCTTCCTTATCCATCGAAATCAAGAGTGAAAAGCTTTGATCGAATTAAAAAAATATTGAAATATTATAGAGCACTGTTTAGACTCTTAGTATATACATTGAGAAATTGATCTCAAGCTTTGCACAAGGTATAAAAGCGTTACCACCACTATTTTTGGTAGACCTTCAATAATTTTTTTGTTTTCTTTTTTAGTGTTGTTTTTTCAATTATGCAATGTTATGTTATTTCCGTCATCATAATTTTTCTTTTGAGACATTTCATATGTATTCGCTATTTTTTTTTTACTTTAAACACAGTCACTACACTTTTTTGCATACTTCTCATGTACATAGAATACTGTGTAAGGGTTGAACATTGTATCTAACATAATAAACTATCGAATTTACTTTTGTTGAGTCCTAACACAATGAGTATTCAAATCATGTTAAAAATGTTGAGACGTCCTTTAGATATTATTCATTGTAGACATGAAGATAGTATTAGGCGGGGCATTAAGACCAATGAGATATGTTAGAACGAACCTCTATAATGAACAAAGAATGAGTGGTTCAAACATGACATGTTGTTTATTCATCCGGATAATGTTTACTTGAAAATAAAATGTTGAGAATACTTGTTAGACATTAATAAACAGTGTAAGTCGTCAGAGTAATAACAACAGGTACTATCAATTACAGAAAAAAAAGAAAAGAATCTATTCAATTATTAGTAAATAGACTTAAAAAATAATTTCTTTTAACAGTTAAACACGTATAACAGATGGTGCAAAAGTTTTAGATTAATTTTCTTTTCCGTATAGCGTGACAATCAATCTTCTTAATAATTTTCACACAAAATCAGTAATGAGAAGTGCATTTAATAGGTTTATGTTCGTAGTCGACTTTAGAAATTTTTTTTGACACTATGTTTGAGTGCAAACAACACAATGTGGACTTTCTAGTACTATTGAAATAATCGAGTTACAAAACTATAGATTCCATAGGAAATAGTTGTATTAAAAACTTGATTTTCCCTCGACAACGCCCAAGGAAATTTTTCTCATAATGTCTAATATTCTTTTTCATATAATTTGCTTTTGTACAGAGTTGACTAACGTTAATTGCACAGAAAAATCTGATTTTTCGAAACAGTTTATTAATTGTGAATACTTTTCTCTAGTACAATCTCGTAGAAAAAAAAAATATCAATTTTGAACCCAACTAACGATTTGAAAACTTTATTTTTATCTTTTAACAATATCCCATCGTAACACTATAAAACTCAATAAAAAAAAGGAACAATAAGAACATCTTTCTTTGTGAATGAAGATTTTCTTCTAAAGTCTAAAATTGTGTACAGTGAATTTTTCAATTTTCGATAAGTAAATATTTTGAACGAAAAACAATTTTTTACATCATTTTGCTCTTTCTAATAAGAAAATTATTCAATTCGCATGACGTACTGTGGTCATGCTATAGTGAAAACAAAATTAATGCAGAACTTTTGCATCATCCATGACATATATTCTTTGTTATATCTCAATTCTATATATATAAATATAAAATATATTATATCATTCATGTCATTAGGTTCATTTAAAAATACTTAAATTTATTCTTTTTTTTTTTTTATTGTTCGTTGTAACATATGTTGACAAGAATAGTTTATAGAATTTTGGTTTCCATCTGTAGCCATTGATTTTTGCGAATTTAAACTACATATAATAGAAAATCTCGGTGAATAATTAAGAGTATCTCTTTGGTACATAAGTATATTTGCTCATGATTAGTTGATAATGTCTCATTAATTCATATGCAACAAAACTTCATCTGTAATTGATAGTTGTCACCTTTAGTATCATACTGAGATGTCTGGTTTCTTATGCATATTCTAACATCATTGACAGAATGTTCTGAATCATAAATAATTCTATGTTTCCTTTTTTTTTTTTTGTTGTTATTCTTGTATTAATCAGCATTTATCATAGAGAAGAATATATATATGGGTTTGAGCATTCTTCTTTCGTACGTCTATAAAACATCTCTACTCAGAGTAAACCACAACCAATACATCAATAATTTACTCATACTAAGCAAAATTCTTAGTAGAGGAAAAAGAGAGAAAAAAGGCGAACGATAGCTTTTCAGATGACTTGTCGGCTAGTTGTACTCTTGCTCTTCTTTTTTCTTTTCTATTCTTATTTTTCTCTCCGTTCGTCATTGTATGCACATAAAGCGATTGTGGCCGAAAAAAAAAGAAAAAAAAAGAATCTATGTGTGTGTATACGCACAGACACACACATCAAGCTTTGTGGTAATGATGAGAGTTTGTTCCCGCATCGAACAGCGAGAAAGAAGAAAAAATGATGAGAATAAGCGGCAAAGAAAGGCCCTGAAAGACAAGACAAAATGCTTCTCTCTATATATATGTATATTGATAGATTGTTAGCTACAGTGACGACGTTTATTCTCTCGCTCTCGTTTTGTATTCATTGTTGTTCGTATATGATATACAGTCATTTTAAATATTCCTACTTTCTAGATGGCAATCATGCATCATTTATTATCGTTTATATTGATAGTTTTATCGATAAAAAATATATATAGTCAAATAGCATTTGAATCATTATGTTCAACTGAAGTTTATGCTCCAGGATTCACATCAATTGATGGCAATGATGAGTTTGAAATAGAACTTTATGAATCTAAATTTCTACCTGATGATACTGTTTCATGTAAGAAAATAAAAGAAAACTTTTTTTTTTATTTCGTTTAAAATGATTTTTATTTTTAGTGGCAATTAGACAAAAACGTCCAAATAGTGGTATCCATGAATTTGTTGTACGTGCATTTGATTTTGATAATCATGTTGTTGGACGATTTGATGATCGACAAATAGGAAATCTAGTTTTAAAACATCAACCATGTTCGGATGGAGCTAATGTATATATTTGAAAAGTTAATATTGAATTTTTTTTTTTAATTTACTTTATTAATTAGGTTATTTATGCGGATAAAGTTGAAAATCCTGGTTATCGAGAAATTCCATTAGCATGGCAAGCTACTGGTATTTCTACTAATCATGATGAAGTCATATTTAGGTAAGATTTATTCATTTGTTTTTTATATATAATTTCTCATTTTATATTTAAATTCTTTTGAAGAGCGGATATTGTTTCGAATCGACAAATCTATCGTGTAAAATCTGCACCATTGAAACGAGTTAGTTGTTATTTTATTCATTGATTTTCGATGAAACTTTTTTTTTTTGTTCTTCTGTTTTTGTATTTAAAGCGTTTAGCATTTGGAATCAATCCTTATTCAGAAGATCAATCAATTAATATTGATTATTGTGGTGAATCTCAAGGTTGTTTAATTGTTCCACAACATTGTAATAATAATGCTAAATGTGAATATGCACTTTCATGGCAAGTACTTGATGAAGATACAGTTAAATTTCATATTGTTGCAAGAGCAAATGGTTTTGCTGGTGTTGGATTTTCTAATGATGAAAAACGAGTAAGTATAAAGGACAAATAATAAACTATATTAAATCTCAATAAGTTTTACTTAATTTTCTTTTAGGGTGATGATCAAGTCGTTTTATGTAATAAAGATGCTCAAGGTCATGTTTATGTACGTAATATGTTTGTTAGTGTTCAAACACCACAATATATTGCACGTGATCGACCATCATATGGTTTACGAGATACAGATGGTTATTCAAATGCTACACATATTATATGTAAATTTGTACGTTCATTATCACCTCATACAGATACATTATTAGAACATGGTGGACAAAATCGTGATGGAGTTGATAGAAATAAATTTGTTAATTTAAAAGAACCACATTATATGTATCCAATTTATGCTAATCAAGATTTAATAACACCACTAGGTAAGATTTTATTAATTTGTTAAGTACTCCCTAATGAATGTATGGATGTCCTAATATCAATATCTTAGAGTAATCTTTAGGTATTTTAGTACCTTACAATACTTTATGGATTTTTAATACTTGTATTAGATATTGATAGAATGCTTCCGGCGGGATCAGAAGAACGACTAATACTTGTTTTCATCGAGAGGGATGTCTTTTATAGTTGTGTAAAGCTTGCGTCTAATATCATATTCTCATGACTCATGTATATGCGAAAATTATTGAGTAATGATCATATTAGTATTTGCTGTTACAAATTTATTAGTACAAATTAATCATGCTATTTTTTCATATAAACAACAGGATTGTTGAATACATAAATGTGAAGAATAGATGAAGTATTAGTAAATTAGAAAAATTAATGAATTTTCAAGATGGAGGATATTACAGATCATGCGAAACATCTCGAACTCATTGACACTACTAGAAAATAATATTGAATTTCGCGTTAGTATATGTATTAATAAGTTTGAAATCAGATTGATCCCATTCATCACTAACTTGTTGTAAAAATTTTCATAGAAACTAAGCAGGTACACTAATAGGATATTCGATAAGCTATTCTCATGACCACTGACTCAGTACACAGATACCTTAAACTCAATACATTCATTAGGGTTTAAAACGTATCAGAATGGTTGGTAAAGACTTCTATCTGTATATTTGTGACACATGGATAGTATATTCAGAAAATTTTCTATATTTATAATAATATTGATAGGTGGTATGAGAATTCCGGTTCAAGATATTCAGATTGTAAATAATCATCCGATTAATTTTGAACGTCGTGTTTTGCCAAAATCTCATCCACGAGCTGGCTCATGGCTTGCTAAAATTCATGGTAATTTAATATATTTTAAAATTCTAGAAGAAAAAATTATTGTATGAATTCTTTTTTTTTTCTGTTTTATAGCTATTTTAAATATAATAGCTTGGATTCTTCTTGCATCAGCTGGTGTTATGATTGCTCGTTATTTTGATACAATTTGGCCTGAATATGAACGACGTGTTGTTGTTGATGCTAATGGTGTTGCAACAGGAGAAAAATTACAACGACGAAGACGTTTTTCTTTTTTTAATGTAAATATTTTTTTTTTCTTTTCATTATTTTTATCAAAATTTTATTATTTTATTTAGGTTTTTCAACCAATTATGATTACAGTAGCTATTTTAACATGGATTGCATTTTTTGCTATACTTTGGGAACTTGATTGGAAATGGACATATGGAACACATCATATGTGGCATTCAATTCTTGGTGTTATTGTACTTATTTGTGCTTTTCTTGCTGTATGTACATCATTGATAAAGAGTTTTAATTTATGACAAAAAATGATTAGAAAAAATTTATTATTATTATTATTCTGTTTTTGTTTAGCCGATTGTTGGTGCATTACGTCCCATACCTCGAACAAAACGTTTTTGTTGTTGGTATTGGATACATTGGTTAATTGTCGCTTTGGCTCACTGTCTTGCTGTTCCAGTTATATTTTTGGGTATGGATAATCGTCGTTTAGATTTATGGACATGGTGTTCATGGCTTTTATTTGGTTGGTGTATATTTCATTTTATTGTTCAACTTATTTTTGAAATTCATGCTTGCTGTTATGCAAGAGAAGATTATGAACGTATGTTTCTTTTGTCAATATAAATAATAAATATATATATATATATATTTGTAATTTTTAGGTTTTGAAGATGCTGATTATTATCCAGAGAAAAATCTAGATCGTCGTATACGACGAGAACGTATACCGGTAAGTTTGTATTTTGAAAACTATTCTCAAATTTTTTTTTTGCTTAATTTTAGGGCGAAGCATGGAAACCAGCTCTTTTAAGCATTTATATCTTTGTCACATTAATCGTGGTCATTATTCTCATTCTTGCTGTCATTTTCTATCAAGGTTATTAAATCAATAAGAAAGAAAAAGATCATAATGATTTGATAAAATTTTTCTCTGTTTTGTAATAATTTTGTTTTATATCTCATTTAAAGCAATAAGAAGAATACTCACTATGTTTTGTGTTTCTATTTAAATTTAGATTAGAGAAGTGTGAATGTGTGTTGCTTCTATTGTAGAATTTTTTTTTTCTTTTAAACAGTATTTAAATAATAATATAATACCTTTGCTCATCCATTTTATGCACGTGACAGTGTATCATTGTTTTTATTTATTTATCAATTCATGTATAAAGATATCAACAAAAAAACCTTTTATCAGCTAAACAAATCATCGATTCATTGAACTATAAAAAAGATATAGTTCAAATGGCCACTAAGAATTACCGCTACGAATTATCCCACGGGACAATGTAAAAAAAACCAACGACTCGCATTTTTTAAATCTTTATATGAAAACTTGTCGTACACTAATTTTTTTATTTGTAACAGATATCTTCATATGACTGGAGCAAAGCTCGATTCGGAGAAGTGACTGACTGGGCGAGCTTGAAAAATGTCAGAGCACGATCCTATGCGAGATTTACTATTTCTGAATCTTGGATTCTCCGTAGAGGAAATCCGAATGAGTTTCAACCATGTTGATTCAGCTGACAAGTGAAAAGATAATGAATCTAAGTCAATTATTGCCGTGTAGGGAAACACAGCTATTAATTATTGTTTTCCGCATTTTATAGTTCTCTTGAACCAAATCCGAGTTCTTGAAAAACATATTTCAAATGTGCATTCATCGCATCTTCGAGATCTCATTACACTAAGCATCATTTTGAAAAGTTGGTTAGGTGTAAAGAATGAGTAGCTGAATCGAGTCGTTACTGATGCACTGAGAAGAAGAGAAATTTATCATAGCAACAAAGGGAATGAAAATAAAATAAGCCTCGACAAGACTCTACTATCGGACCAAACGGGAAAAAATATTATTCGTTCTTATTGATTTATTTCTCAAATGGTTCTTCTGAAGCAAAAAGATATGTTTGCATATAACTGAATATGATTATAATACGCCATCATAATCATGTCCATATCTTTCGCAGAATTTATACGAATCAGTACACATCAAAGGGTCTCTTTCATCTTTCATAAATAAATCAATAATGTTTTTTTTCTATGATTAATTCATATAAGATGCAATGATAAACTGTAGTAGAAGGATACTACCTATTAGAATTAGTATTTTTCATTGGTTTCATATTCATTTGTCAAAAGAATAAAAGAAAAGGAAGCATGCATTACAGCGTCAGTATTTGAAATATACAACGAAAGCATTGTAGGTGAAACATAAGAAATAAAACAATCAAAGGAAGAAACAAGTTTTTGGTAATTCCTATAAGTAATAATATTAGACTTTTCAGTTCTAGTTTTATAATGAATTGTTTTAAGAATTTTAGAGTGATGAATTATTTTTGGTTTGATTTTTTTATGTTTTTTTGCGATAACCATTTCGATTAATAGTCAGTCATGTTACTGGACAGACTGTGCGCTTTGGAATCAAGCTCAATGTCCTGCAGGTTATGTCGAAAAACTAGTCACAGATTGCAACAATGTAAGTTTCTTGTAAACATGTTAAACTTATACTAAGGTTTAGCGATAAAAATGAGGTCTGTTGAGAATGCAGTTTTAGTTCTCGAGGCTAGTGAAATCTATCTCTAAGAATTGGACAAGGAATTTTCCTACTTTTATCCATTCAGAAAAAATTTTATTGTGCATTACTTAGTGTTAGTCACTACTCAGATTTTCATTTAAAGTTACACTTGCCATTGATGTTCTATGGGTGTCTTTTTAACACTCTTCATATTTAACGCTTTTTAGAATGAATACAATCAGATGAAAAACCAATTGATGTCCGGAAATATTTTCTTTTTTGAAAATTTAACTAATCAGACTATACTAATTTAAATAATAGAATCTGAGTATATTATACTTTAAATAATACTCAGTATCATGCTATCTAAGGAAGAAATAAGTAGTGCTCATCTAGGATTCGCTTATCTTTTGCTGAACGAAAGGATTTGCATCATTGAAAAATATCCTATTCATGGCTCGTAACATTCTGGGTCACTATAAATGGAACTTTACTTTATGAGGGACTCATGCACATTTCCAACTAATGCTATGAATTCAGAAAAATTTCAAAGATTGTCTGGACATATTTAATGCGGAGTTTTCATGAAAAGCTACAATGATATAAGACATTAAAATGTTGAATCCGCATCTATGTTAAGAAACAGACAGTAAAATAAGTTAGACTGACAGAATCGTATAATTGGTAGACTCAACCCAACCTCACAGAGCCAGATTGGTACAGATACTAATCGTCAAAATTTCAGACTGGTTTCATTATGCTATAAATGACTGCATTATGCGCATCAGAGATCTAGATCCGCGTGCACTACATATAAAGATGCAGTATCCTTAGGTAACTTAACGGTCAAAAACGTTTCTGAAAGCAGATACAAGGCAGCCACTTCATCTTGTCCTTCATATTCTCTATGCAGTAGTCTACAAGCAATTTTCAGTTTTCAAAATAGAGTAACGTGTTTCAAAGTATTCCAAACTATCCGAAGAATTAGTGAACTTTAAGGCTACGGCACGTATTAAAGACTCACAAGTGTTTAAGACAAAAATTTTCTTTGAACTTCTTATAACTTTTTCAGTTCTAAGTACCTCTGGTTATTTTTAACGGGTCTCCTATGTTTCTTCAGAAATTTTTCTTACAGTATATTACTACTCAATAATTATAGAAAAAAACTTGGACTCAATTGTTGACACCTCTTGTGGAAACTACTATCGACTCATCGCTCTGTCCATGTACAATCCTTCTAAATTCGCTTCTGATTCCATCGTAAACAATCAGACATCGTTTCATCAAAAGCTACCTGCTTCTGATATGCAGCACATTTCTTCTGTTGATTTCCTTTTCATACACAAACAGGCAGACGAATGTAGTATCAGAGATTCATGTATAGCCTATTATTAATACTAGATTCAGTCTCCATCAACTTTTACTGGAATATTATGAAAAAATATTAATCAGTCACCCGTAGACCATCGAAAAATCTAAATGACTAAAATTCGAGCATGAAAACATCTAAATTTCGAAAGATTAAAATGTAAAAATTATTACTGACTGAGCTTTCAGTTAAAAAAACCAATTAAAGCACAGTTAGATAGTGAAAGCATCTAATTGGTTGAAACTTCAGTAGAAAAATCTAATGAAGTTGTAAAAAATAGCTCTTGAATTGTGTGTACAATTCTTATCGGGTCTTATTATTATGTCTTACTCTGTAAAGATTTTTCTATTAAATAAATCGTGTCTGCATCCTGATCGGCTGGTACGAACAAAGACGCAAACGTTTTTTAATACGATACTCTTTCTTTCAGAAAAAGGAAAAGTAAATTATGGATAAAGATCCACGAAATTTTGATATTTTATTATTAAATGGAAGCTTTTCTAGGCTTTGGGATCGCGAAAATTCTGTTGCGATCAATCAAAATGTGCTTATACGAACAGTTGTATATTGGACACTTGTAAAGTTTGTACGCATGCTCAGCTGGTCAGACCCATTATTCAGAAGTTGCCTCTCAAACGTGCGTCGCTAGCTTTATGAATGTGAAATTCAATGGTAAGAAAAATTGGTGCTGTAAGCCATGAAGATTGATAATCAATTCACATAAAGTTCTTCATTTAAAAATAAGACACATCTACGATTATCCTTTAAACCTTTCATTTTATTAATTTTACTTTACTGTTTACTTCGTGTTCTGTACGCACAAATAAAATTGTATTAATAAAAGAATATAGATCATTCTATAATCAAAACACTTGAGAAGAAGCGATCTGTGAAACAAAAATTGAAGTATAATATCGAAAACACATCAAAGAAATATCGTTTATCATGAATCAATAAACTTTATGTGCACAATTAATGGATATTTGCCTCGTTAATATTCATGAATTTTCAAATCGATCGAACCAGTATAAATATGTTTCTCTTCGAATTGTTACCTTTATTTCGTTATTTTGTTGAATATGTAGCATATTTATTGAAATGTTGAGTGCATTGAAGTCAAACCGGCTGTTGCAGATGATTAGTCAAATGAAGTAATAAATGATGGACGTAATGATTTTAAAAAATAGCACAACATCAAAATATCAGAATTACTGAATTATTCAGATTAATTTTTGACGCAAAAGCATCATTTCTTCCTTCTTTATGAGAAACAGGTTGGAGATGGAGTGAGTTTTCAATATTATCTAGAACATGTACGTTACAAATCTGAAGCTTAGAATATACTGATAAGACTATTTCTGTTGCTTATTTAAAGAACCATGTATATTATTTCAGCAGGCAATGACATGTGAGCATCGACATGGGGCGTGGGTGCTAGTCTGTTCGGCACCTACATCTTTATAGTTGAGATTATTCGAAATATTTATATTTTTTCAAATGAAAGGAACCATTGACAATAATCAATACAAGCCTAAATACCATCGCCATACTCCCCACAATGCACAAAAAAAAGAATGGAAGGATTACAAAAACGAACATAAACTGCAATCAGGTTGACAGTGATGACTTAGACTTCATCTCATGCATAGAACACTATACTGCATAACTAGAATTCCCTGTTGGATCATTAATTGCTTGTTTATTAGCATTTCGCAAGAGATGAGCAACGTTTTCAAATGATTGTATATATACTGACTAATTTCCGTTCGAAACTGTTTGTTTCATGAATAGTGTTTAACGAATAAATTATGTACATATTTTTGTTCTCTTTCAAGCGATTTGTTTTGGAAAAGAAAATCGAATCACATGAAATCAATAATAGATAGGAGAAGAATGTCGCACACAGTGACTTCATTTCTTTGAAAATATGCTCTGACAATCTGTGACACATTTGAAAATTTGTAGATTTTTGCAATTCATGGGAAATGTTAGCTGATGAGCTCTCGTTGTTCATCTATTTATTGATTGAAATGATCGTTTGACTAGCACAATAAATGCTTATCGAACCAATATTGATTTTAACAAGACTATTCTAACGAAATTCAAAGGATACTGCGAAATGCTACTTCAACCAAATTTAGCTGGGCAAGTGCGCTCTATGTTCTCTCAAACAATAAACTAGTGGTGGGGCATCTAATTTTGTTTGAAAAGCAGTTTTAGCCTCTTTATTTGACCATATTAAATTTAGAGTGTCTGACATTACTACAACATTCTGACGAAGGATTGGACTAGTGTCTACCAAATATTTTCCTATTGCAGAAACTGACAGATCTGATGATATGTTTTGCAGGATTTTCAAGCAATGAATTTAACCTACTCAATGAGTTAATTCCAAAACTGATGCAAGACACAAAATCGTCACTAAAGATGACTTTAGTGAATACTGGTTATCTTAATCTGAGTCAGAACTGTTAGTTTTTTAATGAAACAATTCCATCTTGAACAATTGATCTATAAAATGTTGATAGTTTGGCTATGATTATTTCTTTTCTTGATCGTCTTCAATATTTGAATGTGAACATGAACCAATTTACAATATCTTTTCCAGAGTAATGAATGCTCCATTTTAATACTTTGTTGCTCGAACTTGAGAGAGTCGTTAAGACCATGTTTGGAAAGGTTTTCGGTGACATTTGTGTAAATCTAAATGAATTTTTTTTTGTGACTATAACTAACTATTACTATACTTATACAACAGCAAACATTAGGAAAACTTTGAAATTCTTTTACTGGAAATCGGGAAAGAAATAGAATGGAATCTGAGAACATGATGATCCATTTGAGACTTTATTTGACATTTTTTATATGAGTTCCCCATAAAGCCTTACTAAGTAAGACTAAGACATATTGGTACGATAAACTATAAAAGCCAGCGTTGATATTAAATAAAGGTCACAATCGAGTACTAACAAATCTATATCCAATCAGCTAGGAAATTTTTTCTAGCATTTTGTTCTAATAGAAATTTTGTCCGTTTGATTGGACAACTCTATTACGATATTTTTTCCACTGAACAATTCAAAGCGTAATAAAAGCATTATACTTTAAAAAGTGTTTCTTTAGCAAATAACATGCACTTTTCAAAATTGTATCTAATCCAATGTATTACTTAGATGTGTTTATTATTCAAAGATATTATAGAAGTAATGATCCATCGACTAGAATCACATTAACATTGACTACTTTCCGTTTACATGTATCACATACGCTGTGTTCGAATGAAGTGTCGAACTGTATATCATACAATCAATTCGAATGTTTTCTTATGAAGATGTCGAATCTTCAGTAACCATATAAAAGATTCCAAAAAGCACGATAAAAGGTTTCTGGTTCATGAATTGTACTGTAGCACCCAATCTTGCACATACATTTTGCTGCTGTCATTACATTGTTAACAAATGTTAATTTATTTCAAAATTCGAAATGAACTTTTATACCATATTATGGAGCACACTTGAAAGTACAAAAAAAATATATTTGTTTTTATTTGAAAAACTATTTGTGTGAATCTTTAAAAATGTATACTTGAATCTCTAGTTACCGTATGACGGCTACAGTTTTTTTCTATTTCACTTTGAATTTAACCGTGCACCTTAATGTTTAGCTCTGAACTCCGTTTTCAAATGTTTTGTAAACTATCAAATACGACCTTTCTTTTAGCAAAATAATAAACTTCTGTTCTTTTCTTCATACTGAGATATTCTCAAAATAAAACTTGATTAACTTTTCTGTAACACCATCACGGAAAAGATCTTATTTTAAAACTTTGGTGAGTCGCTGACGGATTACCAGTAAAAAAACTAGTACAACATTACTAACTTTTTGAGACAATGGTGACGCACTACATTTTTTCTCAAACATATTGCATTGTAAGGTAGATGAACTTAATGCTGTTACGAAAACTTAATTTTCGGTATTCTCTTTAGTTTATGCAATTGTGCAATAATTTCAATATTACAAGTGTCAGATAACGACTGGATAACATTGAAACCTGGTTTTCATCTTTGATTTACTTATCTAAACACCAATCTCTCTAAAAACCTCAAATTTTTGTTTCATTTCTAATGATCTGGCTATGATTAATATTAGCCAAAGTAACTCGTATCTATTGAGAGAATGTTTTGAATTGCCTAATCATTTTTGAGTTCAGGTTCTGCGCATAATATATAGTCCATTGAGTTATGAAAAACTTTCAAGAGGAAAATTGCCCTTAGATCTTCTATTGAGACTTATAGACATTTAACTGCAATATTAGCTAATGGCATGGCTAATACCAACAAATCAAACTACAGTATTTCGAGTTGAAATTATGCTGGCAAACACATCTATTAGTGAGAAAATTGTTCTGCTAATTTCCGTTCAATAAAAAATATTTCCTTCCCGAGATATCAAAGTCTCAGAATCACTTATATCCTACGAAAAACGCTAGGGTTTTTTTGTTTTTTTTTTGAATTTACTGACAATAGGTCTATGTGTAGACACAATCTCAATTTAAAATACTATAGTTCGATTCGTGGGTATATCATATGTCATAAGCTAATATTTCAATAAAATGTCAATGAGCCTCACCAGAGTTCGAAATTGGAAAGAGACTGAGCAGTTCACAATGTTCCCTCGTGAATGTATTTCTCACCTATAACAGAAGTAGACTTTACTGCCACAGCAAAGTTTGACCCTTACAGAAACCTAAGAAGTGTCTCTAGGTGTCGATGGACCTTTTAGTGTTTCGAGTCATGGAAAAGTCTGTTTAGAAGTTAAAAGAATTGACTCAGAAGAATCTAGGTCCAATAAAAAAAGATGATATCAATTTACCAAAAAAAAGGTGTAATAGCATTACTTTTGCTTATTGCTGTCCATAAATGAGTAAGAATAGTTAAATGAAAAATTTGTTTGATGCTCCATAAAATTTACTCTGACTGCATTTGATTTAGATATCGACTTTCGTAGGAAATTAGAATTTAAGCAAGAGGACTCCAAACTTAGAGTTTTTTTATATTACACTGTTATGCGATACAAAAACCTTTTCTGGAACTTCGAGAGATTCACCTAGAGACTTTGTTTTTGTAGCATAAATAGAACATGATGAGCTGCGTCAAAAGGCATTTGAACGAACTTCCCAGCTCTTACAGTTTCCGAGATAATTGACAAAAAGTATACCAACGATCGTCAAATTTGGTAGCATCGCTATACAATCGAGATACAATGATTGACGAAGAAGCATAGCACTTTCTAATAACGTGTTCCTCACTAAGTTACTTGTTGCGCTGTACTGTGTCTAATTATGTTTAAATTATTATTTTTTTCATCAAAATGAATCTTTACAATACACGAAAAAACCCAGTCATAAAAAAAATAAATATGTACACAAGTGAATTTTTTTCTTACAAAACTTACAGTATTATCATTGTTGACAGAAGAAAAGGAAAGAAAGAAAAATAAGAAAAAGAATATAAAACTACCAAGAAAGTAAATTAGGATTCGAATACTACTTCATACCGTTACATGAATTGACGAAAACTCGTTTTATCTTTATGTCGTCAAAAAGAAAAGACACTCTTTTACAGCTCACATATTGTTGAATCAGACAAAAACAAATGGTCTCCATACTAAACAATAACTTTCTTGACTTAACAATGTCAACAAAGAATTTTTCGCTGCAACAAATAGAGAACATTGAATTCATTTTATTTTTGCTTTTTAGTTTCACAATCTTGATTTCACGTGTTATTTTTTTGCATAAAAAATGGGAGGAACACCTTCAAATTCGTCTAAATCGCCTGATGAAAATCTTGAATCGTTGTCACTAATTTGGCTCGATGCAGAGGTTGACAATTCCAGAGAAAACATTGACGTACAAAAACGACTTCGCTCAATCATTAATTATTTAAAGACATTTCAAGATCCAGTAGAATGTGAGAAGTACATTCGATCAGTTCCGGATGGTGATAGAATGTTATTTATCGTCAGTGGACGATTGGCCTTAGATATCGTACCTCGTATTCATAAACTTCGACAAATTCTTTCCATCTATGTCTTCTGTTTTGACAAAAACAGATATGAAGAATGGACTAAAAATTTTACCAAAGTAATTATTTAATATTTTATTTGCTCATGCTGAATAATTATGTGAAAGTAAATTACCGTTAGATAAATACGATTTCACAATATATGAAATCGGTCGTGTGTAGCTTAAAATATAAAGAAAAAGACAACCAATGAATACAGGTCGGCCACAAGGTTAAATAGTATGATTTATAGAAAGAAAGAAAAAAAAAAATTTGAATCCATTTATAGACGCCTAGAATAATTGCTAGAGTGAAATGAGTTGCAGTCAGGATTGTATGTAGTACAAATAGAACAAAATCATTGATTGCTCGAAAATTTGGTTTAATTTCGAAAATTCTATCTCTAACGACATAATATTATTTTTCTCTCTTTAGATAAAAGGTTTATTTACTCAAAAACAAGAACTTGTTGCACAAATTCAATCGGATCGTGAGAGAAGAAAGAAAGGTGATGAACCAATCTTATTTACTATTCAAGGACAATCGACAAATGAATTAAATGGTCAATTTGTTCATTCTCAAATTTTTATCGATGTTTTACTACGTATAAAATCGACGCCAGCAGACAAAGAAGAATTTATTTCTCGTTGTAATACAATATACAAAGGCAATGATTCTGAATTGAAAATTGTTAAAGAATTTAGTAGAAAATATACTCCAGATAAAGCTCTTTGGTGGTATACTAGAGAATCATTTCTTTATCGAATGTTAAATAAGGCACTTCGAGTACAAAACACCGATTTACTTTTTCTATTTCGATTTTTTATTGTCGATCTTCAACAGCAATTGAACAATAATCGATGTTCATCACCAGTTACTCTTTATCGAGGTCAAATGATGTCAAAAGATGAGTTGAAAATCTTACGTAATTCAAAAGATAAATTTATTTCGATTAATTCATTTTTCTCGACTAGTACCGAGCGTTTCGTAGCACTTCGATTTCTCGATTCCAGTGCTGATGAACTTAAACAAGTCTTATTTGAAATTCATGCGAATCCTTCTGTTACAACAAAACCTTTTGCTGATATTACAAAGCTAAGTTATTTTACCAATGAAAAAGAAATTTTAGTCATGCTTGGATCGATCTTTCGAATTGATGATGTACGTGCTGATGATAATGATGTAAATATTATTCAAATGACATTATGTTCTGATGATGATCATGATCTCAAAGCTATTTTTGAACATATGAAAAATGAACATGGTGGTGGAGAAAAAAATCTTCTTTCATTTGGAAATGTTTTAGCAGATATGGGCAAATTTGATGAAGCTGAAAAATATTATCTTCGTTTACTTGATCAACTTCCTCCTGATGAACCAGATATTGCTCGTTGTTATCATGGTCTTGGTAATGTTACCGATGAAAAAGGTGATTATGATTCAAGTCTTGAATGGCATGAAAAATCGCTCAAAATGAGAATCAAAGCATTAAAACCCGATCATCCTCATCTTGCACCTAGTTATATTAGTATTGGATGTGATCATTTTAATAAAAGTGATTATCCAAAAGCACTTGAATCATATAATACAGCACTCGAAATTATTAAAAAAGCTTTTGGTGAAAGTCATCCTGATATTGCTATGTGTTTAAATAATATAGGTTGTGTATACGAACGACAGAAAAATTATTCCAAAGCACTTGAATGCCATCAACAAGCATTAGATATTCGTTTGGATTATTTACCTAAAGATCATCCTGAAGTTGCTCAATCACATCATAATATGGGTAATATATATCGTTGTCAAGGCGAATATGACCTTGCACTTCAACACTACAATGAATCACTTGAAATTAAAACAAAATCTTTACCTCCAGAACATCGTGATATTGCCTTAACCCTTGAAAACATTGGCAATATATATAAAGACAAAAAAGAATACCATAGAGCACTGGAATATTACAAAAAAGCTGAACATATTTATTGTCATTCATTGCCTCCTACACATCCAAGTGTTCTGCAAATTCAAGAATATATTAGATATTTATCTTAATTATGTAATTTCCATTTTAATTATGAGTTATGAATTATTTCTGAAAACAATGAAATTTAAATTCATATTTATTAAAAATAAAATACGATAATCAGATTTAGAAAGTTTAAGATTGAAATTTAAGCTGATAAGCTACGACATCGGTCTCACATTTGATTTTCATTGCTAGAAACAGAAACTTTTTAAGAACATTTTTAGCATTTCATCAATTCCAAATTTATTTAATGATCGAATGCATTAATTGTTGCCAACTTATTGATGTGAAAATGATTTTGACAAAAGCCTCGTTCTATATTGTCACCATCAAAAAAAAACAAAGATCTAAACTATTCATTGTCATATGCAACAGAAGTTAGAGATCTATAGGATACTAATAAAAGGTCAATGTTCAATATCAAATCAATAGACTCAAATGATACACAATTTTTCAGTATTCGTTGTAGCGCAGCCTCTTTAGAGCTGACATGTGAAACTCAAATATAATCTGTAGCCTCATCGAACTGATTACGTAAAGTGAACAATCTCTTGTAGACTATAATTATTTTGCAGGATAATCGATCATCAGAGTAAGGCCTCTCTAATTTCTACACTTCGAATAATTTTTTTGAAATTTTTTCTACAACGCTCTATTTTGTTTGCATTGTTGTTATTCGCTCATTATTTTTCATTTTGTTTTTAAATCGTTTTCTTAACTTAGGATGTAGATGTGAGTATGAAGAAAAAGATAGTTCTCACTTACATGCAAAAAATGACGCGACAAAATTTCAATAATAAGAATCTATTTCTCAAGTCTACACGATTTGGAACAAATATGTGTGCTTTAGTCAATATACGAATTTTCTATTCGGCTGAACAATGAAAATTTATGCTGTAGCTTCCATTGATTTATTGTCTATCTCGCTCTTCACTTCATCAAGCGTCATTTCTAACACGGTTTTAATTTGTTCGTCGTTCAGAGACATTCGATTTTTCATAAGCTCTTCTTTTGTCAAAACATTATCATTGTTGCCGTTGATAGATCGATGCAATTCAATAAGCAATTGACAACAGTCACCGATTAATCTTTCAAGCAGAAGTGGATCAGGTAGAAAGATGGATAAAGCTTGTTTAGCATATTTTACGGCGTGTTCATATCGTTCGCATCGTCGAAGGCTTCGTGATAAGTACATGTAACACTTTCCAATCGTGTCGCGAGTATGCAGTTTTCCGTTACCCTCTATAAGATTCTGAAAAGCACGATAAAACATTTCTGGTGCATGAATTGTACTGTAGCATCCAATCTTGCACATGCATCTTGCTGTTGTCATTACATTGTTAACAAATGTTTCTTTGATGGATAAATTAAGGGCTTCTTGGTAAAGACTAATAGCTTTTTCTAAATCATTTTTTGATGCATAAACATCACCCATTCTCCCTGAGTACGATCCAATCAAAGGATTATAATAAGCAGACAGTGATTGAGAAGAAGCTATTGATAGTTCTTTTTCACGTGTGTAGCAAACTAAAACTTGTGCAACATTTTGATTTTGATAGAAGTATTTATAGCCAAGTTCACCCCATGCATCAATTATATATGAAATCCTCTCATCTATGAACATCTCATTTTCGTCATTATCGTATGTACAACAGTACTCGAGAAATGCTTGATCTGACATGTGATTGAATCGTACAAATGCTATGTCCTCGTAGAGAAAGTTATCCATATCTTCAGTTTGGTTCATAAGTGCATCGAAAATATTTCAAGCAAGTTCATAATTGCCGTTGATTTTATGAATTTGAGCGAGATTCGCCTTGAAGTAGAGTTATGCGAAATCTCATGACTAGGAAAAGAATTTGGAAGAAGAGACATATACTTCTGTGAATCGTGACTTGGACTTTCAAGACATCTATCTTACTACAACATTAAATCATTCCTTGCATATTAGTCATACATCTGTGAAATGCTCTTTGAGCTCGTGAATCTGAATAAACTATCGCTTCAAGTGAAACTACAATACACATGTTTGAAAGCTGACGACTTCTCTTGATATACCAATTTTTTAGTAACTTTTCGCGCTCAGTCATGTCTGTTAGAAGTAAATTAATGTTTCCAGAATCATTTGTGTTCTATACAACTTATATTCATAGTAATGGGAGTACTTCTCATGATTTTTTCGAACAATAACTAACCTACCTTGTAGAAGATGTCTGTGATTGAGGTTCGTCATATAATGATGCTTTCTGATAATAATAGTAAGCTTCCATGAGTTTTCCCTTCGTCTTGAATACACTACCCAAAGCATCGTACAAAGTAACAACCATTTTATTATGAATTTTGGATTCATGATCGAATGAATCAGCAGTGAACGATCGAAGTGCTTTCAATTCAAAACGATCTGAATCATCACTATTCAATGTGACACTGCAGAGTGCTGTTAATTCAAGTTCACGTCGAAGGATTGGCACATCTTCGATAAATGTTGCACAGAATTTTCTTGTAAACTCAAACTTGTTCTCGTCTGAATCAGAAGATTTATCTAGTTCGTCTTCATCGTCATTGCTCGACGATTCGTCTTCTTCGATAAGATGACGTAATGTAAGTTCAAGTCCCATAAGACGTTCATCGTCAGTGATTCGTATCAACGGATCGTCTACTTGGCATAGGCGGCTAAATATTGCATTCTATACGCGTTCTTTTTCATCGTAAACACAATCAAGAAAATTGACAGTAGGAGTTGTAGAAAGGAAGATTTCACCTTCGTCACCATTAAAACTTAAACGACAGATATCAGCAAAATCTTGCTTAGGACTGAAGTCTGTCCATTCAATATGAAAAATGACTGCCTGCATGGGATCATCAGGACTGAAAGCACCTGCGCCCGAGAACATATTCGCAACAGCGAGATCGGCTGTTGTTGAAAGAAAACTATTGATGAATAGTACTTCTCCCTTATTTTCTTTAGTTGCTCTAGTTCCGTGAGTGACATCAACTGTCCTCGATAAAGATGCACAGTATCGGCTTTCATTCAATCTTGTTTCGTTGTTCTCAGTTCATCCTTTAATTGTCGAACGAGATAATTGAAAACAGAATGTAATTACATTATAAGGCGCAACATGTTTTGTGCTTCTCTTGCAAAAGAAAGAAAGTTCTCAATAAGAGCTGCAGAGAATATGCATCAAACTATCGACATATTCATTTTCGTCCCCGTATCTTAACGAATGTAATTCTGTGTTGACGAACCATCCCTGATTTAGGGTTTTTTCGTAAAAATTAGCATAATATCGAAAAATAACATGAATATATATATATATTTACACATGATGACAGGAAGAAATCGACAACAATAGGAGAGAGAACAGAAAAGTAATGCGTTGAGAGGTAGCGTCAATATCTTACGATACACTACTATATATTGACAATGCTACACAGCATACATGCAATCGGTTGTGAGTTTGTACCAAAGATGTGAAACATTGAGTAAAGTTCTTGAAGATGAACGATATCTGAACACATTGAATACACGTACTCTTATTTCGATTGAATGTTTCAATAGAAAATTCATTAGATTATATTTAACATTCAAAAAAGATGTTAAAATTCTACTTCTGCTATGAGTTAATCATGCGGCAAAGATGTATTTGCTTCAGTAAAGAGCAACCTCTATGTACACTTTTCTGAATAACGAATTTTTTTTCAAGTTCCATACGAATCAGTTAGAGTGTAAGGCGAAACCTATTAGATTTTGTTTTAAACTTGAACGGTTTCGCAATCTCTGCCGAACTTCAAAATTTTTGATATAAAACCTATTTTTTCTAGTGTACACTAGTAAAATCCAGAAAGATGTTCAAGGTAACCATTAGGTTTTTATTAAGTTATATTACTTTGATAAAATAAACTTTAAGAGTAAACTCTTTTCTGAGATGTCCGCTATACTTTCTCTTACTAGTTGTCCAAAATCCTGAATGCTATTAATTAACAACATTCAATGCAGTTTCCAGCATCATCTATCTATTTTTAGTATCACGTTCAAATCTCTATTTTTAATTATATATATGAGAGAATTGCAAAATTATTGTACCGTTTGATTCTTATATGTAAAAGTTTAATATCTCGAGTTTCTCTCATTCAATCTTCATGATTTTTTCAGGGTAGAATCCTCTAGTAAGTTCTCACTACCACACAAAAAATTGCGATTTTATCTCGGATAGATCTTGAGATATTAGGAGCACAAGGATAAATAGTCCGACTTTGACTGCTACCTATTGGAAGAAAATGTTATATAACCGATTGGTTCTCCTTTCATTTGAACTTCAAAAGTTATAAATATTACAGTTAACAGTATGTACTTATCGGATATAAAACTGATTGGTTGTTCCATGATATTTGATATGACACTTTTTTCTGTATATCATGTGTACAGTCAACCCTTAAATTCCTGTCACGCGAGATTGAAAATGACTTTAGTATGTAACAGCGCGTCTAAAATTGGTCGGGCTGGTGTTGAACGAGAGTCGGTTGGTAGGAGATAAAAGTGACCAAAGACGATGAGAGAGTTGTGCTAGTCTTTGTTAGAATATAATGTGAAATATAAATTAAAAACATAGTTGTCACATTAAATGTCACGCGAGATTATTTTTTTGTCTGACGTATAACTCTCTTCAGGTACGGTATTTTGAGCTGAAATTTTGATCATTTTATCAGCTCATCGTGGCTAACTATCATCAAAAATATCAGCGTCAGAAAGTTTGTCTTTCGTACAAAAGAGAAGAAATAATTCAAAAATGTCACGCGAGATTTTCTGGAAAAAATGTCACGCGAGATTATTAGGTGCATAAGTACCCCACAGCTGAAGTATAATGAATACATTATACATTTAAATTGGTTTCATATTTAAGGACCTATCAAGATTCATACCAACTATCTCTAGTTTGTGTCTCATAAGTTAGTAAACTCCAAAAAGAAAAGATCACTAACTATATACATTCTCTAATTGGCTACACATTTACTAATTCTATCGCTGTATAAGTGTAAAAACCAAATATAATTTAGACCAAATCATGTTTTTCAGTCGCTACTTCTACATTGAACATAGTTCCTTATCAAAAAAGAAAAGGCTCAATGTAAAGACCTAAAATATCGTCGAAAAATTCAACTACCGAATGTAGTATCAAAATCATTCGTCCTCAATTTTAAACAGTATTTTCAGAAAAACTCTCATATCTCGGCCAATTTGATATCAGTAGTCGGGAAAATTTACTCACATCCTCCTCTCACATAACACTATAGAATGCATTAATCATCGTTTTCAAAATCGAAAATTTTTTTTCGTCCATTTTTTTCTCGAAACGGTACAATAATTTTGCAATTCTCTCATATATATATATCACTATTTTAACTTCTAATGAAAATTGAAATCCAGTTTTCAATTTTTATAAATGATTTTGTCTTGTCTATTTTTCGTAAACTGATTTCTATTGGAATGCATGATTATTGGATTTCTCGCTAACTGCATGAAAATACTGATCAAACATCCTATTTTAACTAAACAATGTAAACAACGTTGGCTACAGAATAATAGGCTTACAGTGATTAGTGAGTCGATATTAGCGAATGCATTGCACAGCAAAACTACCTTTGAAGTTTTATGTTTATCAATAAATCCCTCTTCGAACAAATTAGTAATGAAACCCTAGATTTTGTTGACGTCATCACAAACTCAATTTCATCTTTGAAATAATTTGATACCACACAATCCAATTTTTTCGAAAACAAAAAAAAAACGGTCAAAAGGCATAAAGAAAAGTAGTATAGTCAAAAATAAAGTTCAATATTGGAATTTTATTTTATAAATGCGAACAAAATATTTAACTTGATGCCATGTTCGAATCTTAAAGTATAAAATTTTCTCTTTCAAAAATTTTTTATCATTTTTTCACACCTGATCAAAATTAGACGATTCTTCTGTTCGCTTGCAGGAAAGAGAATGGAAAGAAAAAAATTGTATCGTTGATTTATGACCAAACGGACGGTTATTGTTTATCATATGCATATGACCTATTGACAGTAAGGAAAATAAAACGAAATATTTTGTCTCATTCTTCATATATTCATAGCTATGAAGGGTACAATTGCTTCTCTTGTTTTACTCGCTCTAGAGCTTACACTTTGTCTTATTTCATCACGTTGGCATTCAGTTGATGTTGATGACTCTCAAATATGTTTTAAAAATCTTTTTCTTCGATTCAATACATCTTCATCAAAACATCAATCTTTACATGTTGGTCCATTATTTTCAACTCATATTTCCAAAATAGATAATACTCCTGAACATTTTTCATCTGATCATGCTAAAACTGAAACAGCTTTATTGATTACTGGTATTGTTCTTATAATTATTTCGGCAGTTTGTTTATCATTAATTGAATTTTGTTCAAGTAAATCTATTTTTAATCGATATCGTATTTGGTTTTATTTAGTCAATGTTCTTCTATTAACAATGAGTTTAATTATATTAATCGTTGGTTTTTATTCATTACAACATATTTTGAAACAACCATTAAATGGTGCAGCAGCTCTGGGATTTTTTATTGGAATTTTATTCATAGTTATGTTAGCTACACATTCAGCTATAACATTTTGGACACATGCTTGGGATATGCGTACGAAAAAAGTTGTAACATAGATTATATTTTTTGTGTTAAAAGTGTAGATTTTTTTGTAAATAAAAGTTATTTGATATGTAATTTATAATTTTTTTCTTCAAAAGTCTCAATGGACTTGATTGAAGAACGTTGACTTATGGGTTATCGATCTTGGATCCGGTCCAGTCAATTGAGACCTCTATCCTGAATGAAAGGCCTTCGTTTTTTTTTGTGAATAATGCGTTTTCATTAAATCAATTACTCTAAAAATAATCTTGCTGGGAAACATTCGGCATAATGATATACTCCATTTTTTGGATGAATGTTTGGTAATCACGCGAAATTTTTTATTCGTTATCATTTTGACTTCTTCAAACTGAGTTTTTCTTATTGATGGCGCAAAGCTGTACTTGCCATTATTCAAATAAGAAATAAAAAAAGAAAGTTTCATTGGAAGTGGACTGTGGAAAAGTGCAATTACATATCTGAGCAAGAGTCTTTGTCACTCATTCTTCTTGTATCGAACTTCTTTGGTCTCGAATTGATAGTGGCTACAAGAATGATATAAAAACTATATTTTTATCTAGTGTATGTTTGATGACGATATGCTTCAATGAACAATTGCTGCCATTCGATACAATCGACCAACACAACAAACAAGTTGATTGATAAAATACTTCATGGATGGGTTATCTCTTTTTTAAACATTTTCTAAATGTTTTAATAGTTTCAACTTATATATATTTGTATCGTCGCCTGTAACGCATTCTCAGAAGAGCTTCGAGTTGACGACAAAGAAAGTTTAACGATCCAAATGGGTAAAGCAGTTAGTAGATACCAAAAAAAGGAAAACTTAGATTTGTAATGTTGCCCGATTTGATTTAACTAGCATTCACTTGAGACCATATAGATTCTATACGAAAAGTATGAGAAAGGGGAGCAAACAACTTTTGTTCAGGAAGTATGTCATTTGGCAAATAATTTCAGTTTTTATTTCGTGAGAGATTGTTAAGTCAGGAGATGTCTCTCCTGACATAACGAGACTCCATGTTCTTATGATATCATCACTGTGCATCAATGGTATTTTTACTCTTCTTTCTCAATGGCTCTTCCATCATAGATAACGAATGATAGAGAATGGAATAAGAGAAAGAGAGAGAAACAACATTCTTTGCTGCTTTTTTTTGTTTTGATTCATTCGCTTGTTTGGTTTTGAAAAGAAAGGAAGAAGAATAATAAAGAAAACGGGTAAAGGACCCTAACAGAGATTAAAATATTCTTTCTAGAGGATTATAATAAGTTCCCCTTTGGGGAAAAAATTATACAGAGATTCTTTGAAAATACTACTTCATTGTCGAGAAGATCAAAATTTTTTATTTCAATGGCAAAAAACGTGCTCTGATTTAGCAATTATTACCATCAAGAATCTGGTTAGATGACATAAGTTTCAATGAAAAATATATTTCAGTGAAAAAATATTTTTCGTTGAAACTTATGCCATCGAATTCTATTCTTGATGGTTACAATCACTAAATAAGAATACGTTGTTTGCCATTGAAATAAAAAATTTTCATTTTCTCAACAATGCAATGACATTTTGAAAAAATCTCTTCATAATCTTTGGCCTATAATGATGTTTATTATAATCCTTTGCAAATAATACTTTTTTCTCTCGAGAAAAAAAAAGAAATCAGAGAAAATTGTAAAATTATATAGAAGCCTTTTTGTCAAGATTTTACCTCGGATCAAATTTTTTTCATCATATTTTATTTGAAAAATGGCAAGTACATATTTTTAATAGTCAGTTTTATACGATCAATAAGAAAAAAAAAATCAGTGAGAAGAAGTAAAAAATAATAAAGTATGAAAAATTTGGCTTGTGTAGAGTATTTGACATGTCTTCTATCTAACCATATAGAAAAAAAAAATCTTACTATGATATTGAATTTCCGACACCTTAATAAGAAATAAATTTTTATTTGAATATCATTCATAACTTAGTGTTCAAATATTCTAGACGTCTTTCTATTTATTGTAAAAGTGTCACGTGTTCATATAGAGTGTCGAATCAATCATTTTGTATTTTATGATATAGGTAGTTGCTTGCATTGGAGAACAGGTAAAAAATGTTAATGTTTGAGTGGGTTCTTCGTCCGTATTCACTGTTGCGTATACTCAAAAATTGACAGTGTCTTATTTTATCTTCTATGCATGATATATGGCTGATCTATTGACTCGAAAATTCTAGTACAGTTTAATTACAACACACATTTTTATCAGCTGAAAAATGCGACTATAAGGTTTGTCTTATTATGATATGATAGATAAAATAAGTCTAATATCACGCAAAAGAATTTCAATCTATTAAAGCATGTGTAAACACCGGTGATCAAGGTTACGCAATACATAAAAATAATTCATATCATTTAGAAGATCATGAAAGAGCTTTCCTTGAAACTATTCCTATGTTTAATTTTGATAAGATTCGATATTAATCAAGGATTTGTTAGCAAGACAATTAAATATAGAAAGTATGTAAAATGAAGGTTTTCGGTTCACGTCCTATAGTGAAATTGATAAAAAAAACATGCAGATATACTTGTTATACTTTCGTTATTTCTAAACAGTTACATCTTATTTAATAGAAATGAACTTTGTTAAAAGAGTTAATTTTTTTGAGACAACAAATCATAAACGATTATTGATAAAATAACTACATATTTTAGTCCATACTAATTGAATCGATGTCTAGAAAATAGAATTTTCTTTTATTTAGAATGAGAAACAATAAAGAATTTTTATTTTCATAGCTATCGTCTATTTTCTTTTATATGACAAATTGACAAAAGTGAAAAAAAGAACTTGATAGTTATGCAAAAACATCAACAATGTACAAAACAGTATTATAATGGAAAAGTTCAATTATGGACATATCTTAGATCTAACTACAGTCGATGCATTAAACTGATCATATGCTTAATTATCGTACTTTTTACTTTGACTCATATCCTTCAAACTGGTTTATTTCTAATAAAACATTTTACAGAAGATGAAAACAGAAATAATATGATAAAGCTTGATATGCAAGTTTGGCAAGGTCTTGCTAATAATCAATCTCAGAG